TATAAATTTTTTCAATTTCAAATTTCATTCTATTAAAGTCATCTTATTTTAATTTAATCTTTATAAACTATCAAGTTCTCTAATAGCTTTTGATATATTAATAATCTTCTTAGAGATTTAAAATAAGAATAAATAAAAATTTTTAGATATTTTTTTTAAAAAAAAATTCTTTAAAAAGAGAAAAAAAAATAATTAACTTTAATATTATATTATAATTTTAATTTTGATGTAGAGAAATAATTATTTAATTATCAACTAAATAAATAATATTAATAAAATATTAATATAATTTTTGAAAAATAGATTTAGAAAATACTTTATTTATATATTTCTATTATTTATATAATTATCAAATTATTGCTAAACAATAATTATTATACTACTATTAAACAGTTTTAATTACTTTATTTAACTAAGTAATTTTGTACTGTTGAATAAATATTTGATTATTAATTTAATATATTATTTTAATAAATTATTAAAATAACTTTTAAAAAATAAATTTAAAAAAGACTTTAATTATATACTTCTTTTCTTAATATAATTGTTAAATTATTAGTAGATAGTTTTTATTTATTTATAAAGTAATTATTTATAGAGTAATTGCAAAGTTATTTATTATATTATTATTAAATAATTATAATTATTATTTTTAACTTAATAATTTTAAATTGTTGAATAATTTAAATGAAATCTATTTTATACTATTTTATTTATTTAAATTTCTATAAAATCTTAACTTTCTTTTCTATTAAAAAAAAAAATTATAAAATAAAATAAGATAAAAATATAATATATATTATAAAAATCAAAGTAATCACTTAACTATCTTCTCATAAAAATAAAAATATGAAAAGCTGAAAAACACAATCTGTATTATATTTTATTGCTGTTTTTTAGCTCCCGTGGAGCTAGTATCTTTCTCAAACGCAGCGTACGATACCTTCAAGCTTAAGAGAGCAGACAATCCAACATACAAGATTATGATAAATAGCAAGGCGACTAAAAAACCCATGAATATTCCTGCAAGTAACATAGCGTGAGTGTGTGAGCAGGTGTAATGTGTGATATGGGAAAAGTACGCATCTGAAACGAAAACCACGTCCAGAAAACGGAGAGAAATGGTGGGAGTATATATAGACGCACCTGGACTAAAAAACTGATATCTCTCAAATAAAGGTCCCTTGTTTTCCTTCCACTCGTCATCGCCTTCAGGGTGTGATTGCGAATGCGGCATGTTATCACGTTTCATATTCGTCCTCATGAGATTTTGATAGATATCCGCGTCCATCTGGTCGTATACGGCCGCCTCTTCTATTTCTATCTCCATGGCCGCAAACTCCCTGGTTGTTGTGGCGTAGAGCACGGTGTAATCGCGCGAGGAAAGGAGGTCGACAATGGCTGCTAGAAATTTATCTGAAAAGAAAGTAAAAAGAACCCCTTAGCTAATATCCTGTATTCCCTATAAAGAGCATTGCGTTCACCAACCATTTTTTACCAGGTATTCGGAGCGATTTGTGTTCGTGGTTGCAAGGCTGGGAAAGTCAACCCTGATAACTTGCGGTTTCTTCGTGTATCGTTCTTGTGGAGCGCCATCTATATTCCCAACAGCGGTGAGCCAGCTATTAGACCCTTACATTCCCTACATTCTTCATACCACGACCTGATAAAGAACACTAAGCTTGTAAAACTCACTCGAGGAGTCAACCTTCGCTACATCCACACCACACTCCCGCTCAAGAATCTTCTGCAACCCGTCCACATCCAAGTTACCCACTACCTCACTAACGGCAAAAACCAGTATGAATTTCATTATCCTGTTTCAACACCCGACGCCGTAATTGTGGCGCAGTTTTGTCGGAGCTGTAATCGCGGGCGTGCACTCCCGGCTGTGAGATGATGATATAGCTATCTGAG